GTTTGCCACGCAATTAGTTTTTATACGCCCACATTGAAATGTGGTTGTATATTGTCGTCGCCCCTGTCCGTCCGTCTGTCCACAAGCTAAAGTTAATATCCGATTGACTTTAAATTGATTTTAAATGAATTCCGATAATTACTGCCACAGTTATGGCCCTTGATCACATCAAAAAATCTTGTGGAAGCTCTAGAGGCCAAATTAATATCAGATTGACTTTAAATTTATACACAGTGTTTAAGGTCATGAGACGAAGAAGCCTATTGATTTTCATCGATTTCCGATAATTACTGCCAGAGTTATGGCCCTTGATCACTTCAAAAAATCTTGTGGACGCTCTAGAGGCTAAAGTTAATATCTTATTGACTGTAAATTTATACACAGTGTTTAAGGTCATGAGACGAAGAAGCCTATTGATTTTTAGCGATTTCTGATAATTACTGCCACAGTTATGCCCCTTGATCACTTCAAAAAATCTCTCCTAAGTACAGCAACATGGCAGCTCTTAATTTAAGCTGGGATCTAAGGTATTAAAAACGGTGAAAGTATTGTTCGTCTCCAAACAGTATTGTTTACAGTATAGCCGTTTTTTATAGCCTTGTTTGTAACACAATTAGTTTTTCTGCAATATTCTGCTATGCAGTAGTTAATTGGGTTTAATAAATTTCGTGAGTCATGATGTAACATTATGTAAACAAAGTTGGAGCTCTGTTTAAATTTCAGCTGGGGTCTTCCCTAAAACGTTGGACAGTGATTTAAGGTATTAAAAACAGTGAAGGTATTGTTCGTCTCCAAACAGTATTGTTTACGGTGTAGCCCATACTTATTCCTTATACCCTAAGGAATGATCCCTAATGTTTTTGGTGCATGCCCGACCCCCAGGGCAAAGCCACGCCCATTTATTGTATTTGTTTGTTTTTTGTCTGCAGGCCGCATTTCTTAACATACATGTATCATCTTGAAACTTTGCATACTTATTCTATATACCCTAAGGAACATCACTATTGTTTGTGGTGCATGCCCAACCCCCAGGGGCAGAGCCATGCCCATTTTTGAAATGTGGTCGTATATTGTTGTCACCTCCGTCCGTCCGTCCGGCATCCACAATTGCTTGTGGACGCTCTAGAGTCTTAAGTCAATATCCGATTGACTTTAAATTTATGTACAGTGTTTAAGGTCATGAGACGAAGAAGCCTATTGATTTTCAACAATTTTCGATAGTTACTGCCAGAGTTATGGCCCTTGATCACTTCAAAAAATTATGTGGAAGCTCTAGAGGTCAAAGTTAATATCCGATTGACTTTAAATTTATACACAGTGTTTACGGTCATGAGAAGAAGCCTGTTGATTTTAGCGATTTCCGATAATTACAGCTAGAGTTATGGCCCTTGATCACTTAAAAAAATCTTGTGGACGCTCTAGAGGCTAAAGTTAATATCCGGTTGACTTTAAATTTATAAACAGTGTTTAAGGTCATGAGACGAAGAATCCTATTGATTTTCAGTGATTTCCGATAATTTTTGCCAGAGTTATGGCCCTTGATCACCTTGAAAAATCTTGTGGAAGCTCTAGAGGCTAAAGTTAATATCCGATTGACTTTAAATTTATACACAGTGTTTAAGGTCTTGAGACGAACAAGTATATGACTTGAACAGCTAAATCCATGATGTTAAAAGTTTCGTATGCTAAACGTTAGCATGGCGCAGAACTTTATAAAAACTGAACAAATTCTAATGGTTTTCTGATAATTACTTAATGATTTGTTACTCTTAATCAGATTTTAATGTATTATAAATGTTTCATTACCGAAAAAAGTAAAAATATGCGACAACTCTTGTTGACTGCCCGGACGATATAGCTGCTGTGGGCGTATGTTTCGTTGCCTGGCAACCTATCTTTGTTTTGTGTGTCTGTGTGTTGCCTACAGGATACTGTACTGGATATGAATCATAATAATATGATATAATAATTAGTACTTAATTATAAATGATATATTATTGGATTGATCGAAAATCGTAATAAAAATGAATCAGGTTCGAGATACATGTATATGATGATTCAAACAGAATGCTCTTCTCAGTCCATCCTAGAAAAAACTTCTTTTTAGATTACTGGAAATTTCATTTATCTCGACGGGTGATTTTGCTTGTGTTCCGTGGGATTCCTCCCGTCATTCTGAATTTCAGGCATATTGGATCATCAGACATGTCCAATAATTGCAGATTCGGACTCGCCGACTCCAAAAACCCTATTAGGGACATCATACACCGACCATGCGATTACGCTCTGCGCGTTCGGAAAAAGGAGTTTCGGGCCCTATTTTGGCGGCCGCTAGGGTGAGAATTGTTGATTTTGGACGCCATATTGGATTTTCTGAGATGAATTATTGCAGATATGAATTCTCTGACCCCCAAAACCCTATAAAAGACACCCTACAGTGGATATTAAAAGTGATTATGTACAGTGTATACAAAGAATATCGAAATTGGCGCCATTTTGGCCGCCATTTTGAAAAATGGCCCTGCACCAATCTAAAGAGCACTTTTTCGGGCAAAATTCTTCCAGATTCGTGTTATTCGGTCAATTTCGCCATAGAAACACCTGGGCGATTTTCAGTTTTCGAAAATGTTGCATATTGGCCCAACCCTACTTATACCCAAGGGATGGCAACTATTGATGTTGGTGCGATTCTCCCCCCTCCCCCCCGCTCTTCGGCGGTGCCACACCCACTCTTTGTTGATATTTTATTTGTAAATGATATACAGGTTGCAATTACTAACAGATTTGGATCCAATTCGGAATGATCCAGCATAGGGTTGTACCTACATGTTTATATATTGGTCCATGTCCAACCCGCCCAATTTTTGTGTTTTTGTCTACAGACTGGAATTCTAAATGGATCATCTTGGAACTTGGCATATTTATTCCTTATACTGTAAGCATAGCAACTATTTATTTTGGTGCATGTCCCGACCACCAGGGGTGTGGCTGAACAGCAACTTTTTTGTTAGTTTTTATCTGTAAATACTCTACAGGTTACAATAATTAACCGATTTTGTTCAAATTTAGCATATCAATTGTTTCAATTTTTGTTTTTATCGTCTACAGACTGCAATTCTGAATGGATCATCTTGGAACTCTGCATATTTATTTCTTATACCATAAAGACAGCAACTATTTATTTTAGTGCATGCCCCAACCCCCTGGGGTGTTGTCAAGCCACTTTTTTGTTAATATTTTGTCTTTTTGGCAAAACAAACCCCAATGCCTAGCTTCCTTTGCCTCTTGTCATATTACAGACATTTCATATTTCATTCTCTTCATTTTAAAAAGTACCATATTAATCAAAGCAGGAATGTGGACGTATATTGCAGCGTTAGCCATGTTCTCGTTTTAATATACAATTTTCAGGTCTTATATACCTTATGCATTGTCTCCTAGTAACACTAACTTAATAATCCTTAATACCTTAATGTCTATGGATTAGCTGCACAATAGATTATAATTTATAAAACAATGTCTCTCGAATATAATCTGTAATGGCTGGATCTCAATTTAACTATGCTTAATTCTTCCTGGTCATAGTACTAGTTCAAGGTTAGAATTACATGGTTATTATACATGTACATGTAGGGTTAGATAATAATAGTCTGATTTCACCATTTGTATCTTTCATAAATCTTTACAGTGGATAGTAAGAAAAGACAAAATGCTGAAATCAATAACGATCTGTTTTACATCAGTGTAGATTTCAATCAATATTACATTTAGCTAGTTAGTTGTTCTGAATCAAGAAAGTAGAAAATAATATGATTATGTAGGCATCGGTTTCAGGAACACTAATGGTTACTGATACACACCACACATAACATAAACTATCACATCACTAAACATTTATCGTCTTCAAATTATAAACTACATGTACATAGAGATTCATCATGAAATCAATATGTTGTCTATTACACTGTGAATAATGTCAATTATGCTGCATTTGAATCATGTTGTATTTACGATAATCATGAGTTCTCGACCTTATTTATTCCTTATACCGTAAAGACAGCAACTTTTTTTTTTGGGTGCATGCCCCGACCCCCTGTGGCGGTGTCACACCCATTTTTTGTTAATATTTAGTCTGTAAATTGTCATATTACAGTCATTGCAGCCATTTCATATTTCATTCTTTTCATTTAAAAAGTACCATATATCAAGCAGGAATGTGGATGTATATTGCACCGTTAGCGATGCTTTCGTTTTTATTTAGCTCATTCTCTGTCCATTCCATGGCTAAATGTGAAATGTATGTTTATAACCCAAAGATCTTGGTTCCTATCGATATTCGCACATATCGGACCGTAACTTTGTGGAATACAGCCCCCGATTGTATGAAAAAAACGTGTTTTTAGCTTGTCCCTATAATGACCGCCGAGTCAGAATTTCATGAAAGTCAGACCGAAACAGCCCTACGAAATGGCCACTCTCCGTACTCAAATAGTGTAAAAGTATGTAATACCAAGGTTGTGGAACCTCTAGAGGTCACAATTTTTATCCAATTTTGATGAAACTTATAAATATGTTCATGTCCCAAAGATCTGGGTTCCTTTTGATACATGTACTTGTGCGTATCGGATCGTAATTTCCTAGATTATGACCCCTGATTGTCCAAAATTCACTTTTGATTTTTAGCTTGTTCTGTCCATCTCTTGCAAAAAGTGGGCATATTTTGCTTGGCAAACGCTTGTTGTTTTTCGTTATCTTTTGTTTTATAATTATATTCCATATATGATATTTTGCCAAACTCAGTTCTATTTAACATGTGTCAAGTCTCATCATCGCATCAGATTAATATCTGTGAATAGCCCATAAAAATACAAACACAACTCTCCACTACTGCCATCTTGTGCCGTTTTATGTGAATACATGTTAGATCTTATAGAAAATGAGAACTGGCAAAAAAGATAAATTTAAATATAATTTTGATAAGATTGTATTTATATTTTCAGCTTATATTTCTCCATGGTCTTGGCGACACTGGGTAAGTGAACTTTAATTGTTTATACATGTAGTTTTCATTATTTACATGTACACTGCACAACACTATGTCTTTATAAATGAAATCATGTTTATTGCCCACATTACCGTTTAAACCATTTGGGTACAAGACTTATAATGACAAACCATTATTTGGACAATATTATTATTATTTCTATTTGTAGAAGATCAGTCGTATTTTTAAACAGAAGTTGGTAACACAATAAAACCAATACATTATGTGATTGTGTTTTATTACATGGCAAGCTCATATCACATCACGTGGTAAAACATAGGATCTTGTCTGCCATATGCCTAGTTCATTACATTAAATAAAAGCAATTCATTATGATGATAAAATGTTATTACATGTCTGTAGTAAGATACCAAGTATAAAATAGACCCAATCATCATGTATTGTCAATAGATAGAGAATTGTCTGTAGAATAATTATTGATAAAATTGCTGGCAGTGAATGGTTTAGGACACTAATTATATCTTGTTGAAAGGAATGCTGGCATACCTATTAGAACCTTGGATTGACACAAAAGCAGAATTATTATAGATGAATCAAGTTCCAGTAGTGGAAAAGACAGAATATAATTGGAACTGATCTGTCACGTGTTTATATGTAAGCACAGCTAGTACTACAAGTTTTGATACACCCACATGAAAATATGGTTGTTTATTGCCGCCGTCATTCATCCATCTTTCGTTCAGAATTGTGAACACTCTACAGACTACTTTTTTTTTTTCAATCTCTTTGAAATTGATCATTGTTGTTAACATTGGACATTAGTGAGAAGAAGAAGCCTAGTGAATTTCAGCAATTTCTGTTATTAACTTCTAGAGTTATCTCCTTGTTTCACTTTGTGAACGCTCTTAATCTTATCGACAAAAGTTATCATCCAATCTGTATCAAATTTATATGCATTATTTAGATTAGTAAAACAAAAGAAACCTATTGAATTTCAGATATTTCCGTTAATAACTTCTAGAGTTATGGATCTAGTTTTACTTAAAAGGCAAAATTTATCATCTGAGCCCTGTTTCTCGAAATTTTAACTAAAGATAAAATCCAAATTTTAGTAGATACTTGAATTTTGATTGGCTAAGCACTAAAATCAATCTAATATTATCCAATCATAATACTAAAATTTGGATTTTATCTTAGTTAAAATTTCGTGAAATAGGCCCCAGATCTTTATGAAATTGATATTGGTGTCTTGTAAATACTCCTACTACCTACAAAAGAATAAATATGTGACAACCCATATCGATTGCTCGAACAATTTAGCTGATGTGGGCATATGTTTTGTTGCCTGGCAACCTATCATTATAATTATCATCTTCCCACAGTCAACTTATTGTCTTATATCTGGAGCATTTTATCATTATTCATTTGCATAGCTTTGGAAGCAAATACATATCCTCGTATATAGAACATTGGAATTACTGACATAGATATATTTATCAGCTTGACTGTAAGAACCCTATGTAATTTCAAAACTTTTGAACATGGTTTGAAGAGTTATCTTTCTGGTCATAGTTTGATTTTTTAAACCGTTGAAATGCAATAAAAGTTATATCTATGGAAATTTTAAAAAGGTCCAGGAGGAACCCTATTAAAATTCTCTGTAAATGTAAAAGTTACATGTATCTCCCGTTACCTGTTCATATTTTTGTAATCTTACTAACGCAATAAAGAACAAGACCCCCAGCTATATTTAAACAGAACACAATTTTTATGGGATATCAATCACTGGTTTTATTCTAAAAGCACAACATTTTCAAAAAGTATCCTCTTATCGTTATCAAGCACAACTACCAATATATTTGTTTACTTTTTGTTCATTAGCTCGGTTGGTGCAGAACAGTAGACCACAGTTCATTCTTTCATTGCTGAGTTTATTTTCTATTTCAGCAAAGGATGGTCAGACACATTGGGCTCTCTACGTTTAAAGAATATAAAAATAATATGTCCAACAGCGTATGTATTATTCAGTTGATATTTTTTTTGAGTTGTTCATTTTAAAGACAATAAGCAAATGGATAAAATTTATTACAAATAATATCACATTCAAAACAGCTAAAAAGATTTATTAGATATTGAGTATATAATTTATTTTACAGACCTATAAAACCGGTTACATTAAATGCTGGTATGCAGATGCCCTCATGGTAAGAAAAATAATTTGTATACACCTAATGTAATTACATGTACCATTACTTTTCAAATGTAATTAATTGCATTAACATTATGTTTCAACTTTATGAATAAATGCTGATTAATTTGAAGTCATTGTCTATATGTTGTTATTGAAATAGAAACAGATGAAAAATATCCTTTAAAGGTTTAGATAAAGGGCTGGCCGTTTTTGCTATAATTATAATAGTTCCAAAATAGATAATTCAGAATTAATATATTGAAAATTTCATTCTAATTACTTTATTCTGAGTGAAGTTATCACCATTTGAAGTTTTGACATATATTGTTTATTATCGTAGCAACATCACTTGTTAATCAAGACTCAGTCTCATTTCTCCATTTTTAATCGCACACATGGAAATGTAGTCGTATAAAGACTTGCAATAGGCAGATTTAGCTCTTCAATAATGTATGTTTAATATTCAATTGTTTAATATTCAATTAACTATAAATTTATACACAGAGAAATCTTGTGGATGCCATAGAGGCTAAAGTTTATGTAAATTTGTGCACAGTTTTTACGAACAATCCAAACAAATTCTGATGATTTCTGATAAATACTTAATGGGATGTTACTTGTAATCAGATTTTATTGTGTTGTAAATGTTTTCATTTCTGACAAAAGAAAAAATCTGCAACAACGCGTAGTTTCATTGCCCTGCACCCTATCATTAAATAGCGATCATATAGAGTTGATTATAGACTTGTCATGTGAATTAATGTCTAAATAATAATTTATATAACATTTGAAGCAAAAATAAAAGCCTGTAATAGGCAGTTTTAGCTCTTATATGATGAATTTTTAAGAAGAAAAAAGATACATTCATAAATGGATATTATGTTAAGGATAAAATTGTATGTGATGAATGATTATGATTTGTTTTACATGTAGGTTTGATATGGGGGGTTGGATGACTGAATGGTAAGCATGTGCGTGTTGTATCATAAGGTCTGTCATATGAGTCCGCTGGCATGGTTTCGATTCCCCAGTTGTACTTGACATGGAGTAGGGTTGCCTGTCCAACCTCGTGGGTTTTCTCCCTGCTATAGACCCCTACGCGCAAGCAAATTATTGAAATAAAATTGAATCATATGTTACTCTCGAAATGACCTAGTTTGTGTTGAGTGGAAGTTAATCCCCATTTCTCACTCTCTCTCTTTAGGTTTGATATAAGAGGTCTTTCACCAGATAGTCCAGAGGATGAAGAAGGTATAAAACAGGCAACAGCAAAATGTAAGTTCAATCTATTTAATTAAAAGCCTTACCAATGCTTTTATTATTATAATGTATTAGTAATTGTAACACAGATTTATTAAGCTGTTTTTAATACGCTATATCACCAATTGACTTTGGTGATAAGGGTGTGATAGGTATTGGTTGATTGCCCTTTAGTAAATGCTAATATATAGGGACAAATCCAGCTGGGGATGTGGGAGAGTGCAATGCAACACTATTATCATTTGATAAGTACATGTCTTGATTAATATTGACTTGAATTGTATATATTAGTACAGGTAGAGTTAATAGTTGTTCATTGTATAATAAAAGTGATCAGGATAAAGTTGAGGAATATAAAGATTTATAGAAATATTAATTTTGTTGCATGAATTGGGTTTAGGTTGCGGGAATATGCTCCCTTACATCCACCACTATAGAATATCACTCATACTGTCATGATTTTACTCCAGTGCAAGCTTTAATAGCTGAAGAAGAAAAATTAGGCATTCCAACAGAAAGAATAGCAATTGGTGGGTTTTCTCAGGGAGGTGCTGTGGCCTTATATACAGCTTACACCACTAACAAACGTTTAGGAGCACTTTTAGCATTTAGTACGTGGATGCCTCTACATAAAAGATTCACCTCACAGGTATGTCACAAATTGAATTGAAATAGGCTTATATGCAAATAAACACAGTTAATCTTGTCACAATTATATACATCAAAATAAACTGTTATTTACTCCTTCAAATATTTAAAGGAACTTTCAAACTTTTAACCCAAAAAACAAATGTAATTAATATCCTTAGAATGTCATATACAAAATAACCAAAGACTTGGAGTACTTTGATCAACGCCATGTTTGCAAGCTGGGCTTTTTAAGACCAATATTGGCTATTATGTGCACAACTTGTACAGAATAAATTGGCAGAACTGTCTCAAATTTTGCATTCAATCTATTGAGCTGTTAATAAAGACTCAGTATTCCAAACACTTATTGGATTTCTTCATTCCCCCCCTCTGTATTCAATTATGTAATATACTTTTTAGGGTTTAAAATATAATGGTGAGCTGCCAGTGTTACAATGTCACGGTACAGAAGATCCAGTTGTACCATTACGATGGGGACAGATGACTAGTCAACTTGTATCTTCTTTCTTTACTAAACACACATTTAAAACTTATCCTATGATGCACAGCTCTCACCCTCAGGTAAGCTTTCATTGAAGATGTAATCATTCCTATTGAAGCAAATTCATACATACTTACAAAGAGAAAAATCCTTGTTGTTTTGTCGAAATTAGTATGCCGCTGTCAAACAGTAACCTAATTACTTAAAATAGACTATGCTTTCAATTTATTTTATTTGTTGAAGGCTCAGATTATCCATATCAATCATGTGATTTCATTGCAGTCACGGTCGTCCAGTTAATTTCTTGTAAACGTGCCAGCTTGATTTCTTATCGTGTGGTAAAATCCTTATAGTGTAGTGGCTTATAGTGTGCCATGCTCATCTTGGCATATTGTTGTGAATCTACACATTTAGCTAAGACTGGTTTGTAAACTGTGTTTTTGATGATTGGTTCGCACACTAAAGCTACAATCAAGGGCAGATAATTTGAATATGTGAATTAATGTCCGATGGATGAACCAAGGGTATAGTGGAGTAGAATGTAATGAGACCACTGGGAATACCCAGGATGCCCTGCTCTAGAAGCTAAAGTTTCTAGATATCAGATCAATATTCTTCAAGCATGCATATTTAATGACAATATTATCTCAGGATATCAATAATATCTCATAATAGAACATAAATCTGTGGACTAGGCTCTAAAGTCCGGCCCACACCGCCACGACTTGCCCAGACTCTACCCAAGGCAACATCTTGTCTCAGATAATTAGTGCAGTGTGGACAGTCCCACGACCACGATTCAATCGATTTCCGTCAGCCCGACTGAGCCTGTTCAATCGTAGTCGGATGCAGTTGGATGCAGTCGTAACCCATCGTGTTTGTGTGGACACTCACACGATACGATCAATTGTCTTACTGTTGTTTTGCCAATCAGAGAGTAGCATTTAGTCATGTGACTGTGCAGGTCATGTACTCCTTGTTTTCCCGGGAAAATTCAAGATGGCAGATTTTTCGAGCAGTCAACTTCAGTGGCATCTTGGCAAAATATAATGTCACTTTTATGCTTCCGGTTTACTTTTTGAATCACTTGCAAGAGGGAAGTGGCGTAACTCACGACGCATAATCTGTGAGAGTCAGGCCTGTGTGGACTGGTAAGTGAAGTAAAGACGCGACCCGATTTTTTTTTTACAACTACCCAAGACGCTGAGTCCTGTCGGGTTGTGTGTAGTCGTAGCGGTATGGGCCGGGCTTTAGTCAAATAATAGTTTAATGACATTTTACAGCCACAGCTTAGAAAGAAATTATGGTTTACACAGTACACCCATATAATGCGACATTTCAAATAACTAACATCATTTCATGAATTATTTGCTACTATCATCACTATGACTGCCAATTTTTGTGATTTTTCACTTCTAAATATTGCGTAATACATAAGATATATGTATATATTTGTATCAAAACTAAAATTGATTGCCAAAAATTTGCTATCTAAACTTCAGTGATGATTTTTTATACGGCCACATTTTCATGTGGACGTATATTGTTGTCGCCCCTGTCCGTCTGTCTGTCCACAATTGTTTGTGGACACTCTACAGGTCACAATTCTTATCCGATTTCAACGAAACTTGAAATATAGGTTTATCTCCCTAAGATCTCGGTTGTTTGTGGACACTCTACAGGTCACAATTCTTATCCGATTTCAACAAAACTTGAAATATAGGTTTATCTCCCTAAGATCTCGGTTTCTTTTGATATTGGCTTGTATCGGACCTTAACTTCACGGATTATGGCCCCTGATTGTAAGAAAAATCACGTTTTTAGCTTGCGGAACCTATAGAGGTCACAATTTTTATCCGATTTTGTTGAAACTTGAAATGTAAGTTTATAACCCAAAGATCTCAGTTCCTTTCGATATTTGCGCATATCGGAACGTAACTTCCAGAATTATGGCCCCTGATTGTACGAAAAATCGCATTTTTAGCTTGTGGACCCTATAGAGGTCAAAATATCTATCGGATTTGAAAAACCGTTTGAATATATCACCGCTACACCCTAAAGACAAAATGGCTACCCCTTGTACTCAAATAGCGTAAAAATATGATATATCAAGGTTGTGGACTCTCTAAGAGGTCACAATTTTCTTCTGATTTTGATGAAACTTGAAATGTAAGTTTATAACCCAAAGATCTTGGTTCCTTTCGATAATCGCGCATATCGGATCGTAACTTCCTGAATTATGGCCCCTGATTGTACGAAAAATCATGTTTTTAGCTTGAGGTCCCTCTAGAGGTCAAAATATCTATCTGATTTAAAAAACATTTTGAATGTATCACCGTTACACCTTAAGGATGATTGAGTTCAAGTTTCATAAAAATCAGACCATAACTGAGAGACAAAATGACAGGCCCTCGTACTCAAATAGCGTAAAAATATAGTATATCAATTTAATTTTCTTCTGATTTTGATGAAACTTGAAATGTAAGTTTAGAACCCAAAGATCTCGGTTCCTTTCGATATTCGTACATATCGGACCGTATCTTCCTGAATTATGGCCTCTGATTGTACGAAAACACGCGTTTTTAGCTTGTGGACCCTATAAAGGTCATAATTTTTATCCGATTTAAAAAAAAACGTTTGATATCACCGTAACACCCTAAGGATGGTGGAGTCCGAATTTCGTAAAAATCGGACCAAAACTGACAGACAAAATGGCCGTCCCTCCTACTCAAATAGCATAAAAATATGGTATATCAAGGTTGTGGACTCTCTAGAGGTGACAATTTTCTTTTGATTTTGATGAAGAGAGAGAGAGAGAGAAATGGGGTTTAACGTCCACTCGACACAAACTAGGTCATTTCGGGACTAACATATGGTTTAATTTTATTTACATAATTCGCTTGCGCGTAGGGGTCTTTAGCAGTGGGAGGAAACCGGAGTACCCGGAGAAAACCCACAAGGTTGGACAGGCGACCCTACTCCTTGCCACGTACAACCGGGGATTCGAAACCACGCCAGTCGACTCAATGACAGACTGTATGATACAGCGCGCACACGCTAACCATTCAGCCATCCAACCCCCCGATTTTGATGAAACTTGAAATGTAAGTTTAAAACTCAAAGATCTTGGTTCCTTTCGATATTTGCGCATATCAAACCGTAACTTCCTGAATTATGGCCCCTGATTGTAGGAAAAATCGCAATTTTAGCTTTAGGTCCCTCTAGAGGTCACAATTGATAAAAACGTTCAAATATATCACCGTTAACCGTAATTTTGATTGAGTTCGGATTTTTAAAAACGTTTAAATATATCACCATTCCACCATTATGAATGGTGAATTCGAATTTCGGGAAAATCAAAATGAAAATGTCCACTCTTTGTACGCAAATTGTGTAAAAGTATGCAATACGAAGGTTGTCGGCCCTCTAGAGGTCACATCCGATTTTGATGAAACTTAAAACATATCTTTATATTCCAAAGATCTCAGTCCCTTTTGATATTTGCGCATTTTACACCATAACTTTCTGGATTATTGCCCCTGATTGTACAAAAACTCCTGTTTGTTTTTAGCTTGTTCTCTATCCATCTCTTGCCTGGCAGTCGCTGGTTTTAGCTAGTTCTCTATCCATCTCTTGCCTGGCAGTCGCTGTTTTTTTCACACTCCACTTTCCGGTATATAAGAGGTGGTAAATGTTAATGTGCAATGACATGAACTTTAGCTGAACTCAGAACCAGATGTTAGATTAGAGAAATTGTAATAGTTGAAAATGTAAAGTCTTTAAAATGGCCATTTTGTGTATGATAATTTTACATGTGAATTTTCCTCTTAATGTGATAATGATTCAGCTCCATATATTATATGTTTTCGAAAATAATTTTTTTTTTTTCTCTTTTTGTTTTAGGAATTAGAAGATGCTAAATCATTCCTAACAGAGACAGTTTTGAAACAATAGTTGTAGTGGGTTTTACTATCAACATATTTATCATGTACAGTACATGCAGATAGAATAATAAATATCAAATGTTTATAAGTATTTTATTAACTTTAATCACTAATTACTGGTTAACTAAATTATCACCAACAAAAAGTTACATGTGTATATGTTCAATTTAATCTTTAGTATCTTCCCCCAGAAATAGGATTATTAGAACTTAGATTGATATTATTAAGGAGATGACTTAAAGTAGACAAAAGCACACTATTGCAGCAATCTAAATTAGATCTTTATTTCATTTTAGTTTAATTTTGTTTGGCCTGCACTCCACAAAGATCATACTGCTTCCGTTTTAATTTTCTGTTTTCTAGGAAGTCTAACTTCAGTTACTGTCATTGGTTGAAATCACTTTTGCCAAGTCAGGTGAAGTCTGGTCAGTTGAACACAAAATGTTGTTAGATCTTACTGTAGTGTAAATCAATTTGATTATGTCATAATTTTCTGAACTGAGTAGGCTAATGAAGATAGGTAGTGTAAATGTAAACAATATAAAATGAAATGAAGTGGGGTTTAATGCCCTACTTTACTGCACTGTGTGAGCTAATGAAGACGGATTAAACAACACAACAAAAAAGATCCGAAACTATTAGAATATTTTCAGTAATTTAGAGGAAATAAAGTGAAAATGTAAACAATATAAAAACAAAAGTATTAGACTGATATTTGTAGAAGTTATTTAGTATAAAATATGGTAAAAAGGAAGCTTATATTACAAGAATTTCTTATAAATATATATGGGATAATTGGAAAATTACATTTTGATTGGATTATTTTAGTATTTCTATTGGTTGTTTATTGTTGATAAGTAACAATCTTATTTATTATGTATTATTAAGCAGCTATATCTATATAGAGATTAAGTGCTCAATACATGTATTACTTTAGATGGTACTATTTTTAGGATTATATCTTTGTATTTTTGTTAGTAAGCCAACGTAATTCAAGTTTTTATGGCCGTTTGGTTGTTGGATGGCTGAATGGTTAGCACATACGCACTGTATCAAAAGGTCTGTCATTGAGTTAACTGGCGTGGTTTCGATTCCCCGGTTGTATGTGACAAAAAGTAGGGTCGCCTGTCCAATTATTGAACCATGTGTTAGTCCCAAAATGACCTAGTTTGTGTCGAGTGGACATTAAACCCCATGCCCCTCTCTCTCTCTCTCTCTCTCTCTCTTTTTATGGCAGTTATAAGCTTTCTTTAAGATTCTTTAAAGAATCTGAACTGTAATTGTATTATCATTTATTGAATATATCTAAAACTACATACAGTCTAATCAAAACTAGATATTATTTAATATATCTTGTTTATTTGGTTGGTCATTTCGTTAGCATTTGGCCTTTTTAGACAGTCAGACAAATAATCAAAGCCTTTCAAAAGATGTTGCATTATATTCTGTAAGAAGGTATCATGCACTTCATCAGATTCTCAAAGGGGCATGTGAACACAAATGTTTTAATGATCCGTATTGACTACAAAATACAATAAAGATTTGTTAGCCTTGTTAACATCAAGAGACATTAGAAATCAATTAAATACTCTTAGTATGCATATCTACTACAGTCTGTTACATAAATAGCTGTAAAGTTTTAATATATAATGTGACATACTAACTGGTTAATTACATGGTTTACTGTATATCAGAATGCAGATGTTATAAGTTTTTTCTATTGAATTCTGATTTTGCTCTTAAATTTATAGTGCAATTTATTGATGGGCTGCTTTTCTTAATGTAAATGTTGAAACATGCTGCGTAATTTAGTGCATTTATTCCTAAAATGGACTTAAATTTCTCTTTTTAGCATTTAAAGAGAAATAATTGTATGTGTAGAATATGAAAATAGAATTGTTTTATGTTCCTTGCTGGTATGTTTTCTTTTAATTTAGATGATTTTTATGTTTGTTATATAATATAATACATGCTTATTAATCTATTTGACATCCTATTTTTTCGTATTTGTTGTATATCCTATGAAACTTACTAATACTGTCATGGTTTTTGTAGTATGGTAGTGAAAATTTTGAATCCCCCCCAAAAAATGTGTATTAATGTCTAGAGAACATTGTAGTACACTGTCTATATAAATGGGTTATTTTACAAATGCAACTTACTAGGAATGAAAGAATAAATGACCAAAGAATGTATATTTTAAATGTTGTATATTGCACTGAATGTAGTACAACTTCACAATGGTTTATGTCGTAAATTAGCAATATTGATATTAATTTATGAAACAAATCAGGTCTTGTCTTTACATGGAGTTAAAACGTACTATATTATGCCCATATACAGTTTGAATCTTACAAAACCTCTATATTTCTCAAATACATTTGAAACCATAATTCTTAAATTACAGTAAGCTGCCTTATTTAGAGATAAACAATTAGCATTATTCAAAAATATTGCAAGAACTAAAACTAGTAGAATTTCTAAATTAATATGAATGTTCAACATTTAGTATGATAAAGGGCTTATTACTGAAAACAAATTATTTCAACTTAATACATAGATTTATTTATACTTTTAAAGATTTCTCTGTCCATATCAGTGGAAATTATTTTGAAAACTGGGGTCGCAGGGTTGTAGTAATTCCAGAGTTATTGCTCAAGTAATGCAGGCCACATTCATATTGAATTTAAAAACTTGCTGTATTATTAGGCTCAATATTTGAGTATGTCCCCAGGCACAATTTGAAGCTTGCTACAGTCAAATGTAATAAACTACATGTATAGTAATATAATGTATGATCACAGTCTGTCTATTGATGTATCTGTGTGTTGACCATCACCTTGATTTATATAACAAATACTATGCATCAGAAGAACAAAATAAACATGTAATGTAGCCATATTGATGTTGAATTATTTTGTCAGTGTCTTGAGTCCAAGATATTTCTATTAATCAAACCACAAGAGTGAATGCAATTGAATGTAATCTATGGGTGTATAGGGGCAATCTCATTAGAATTAGATCTATATTTTGTTTCATCTTTATGGGTTTTACTTTTAACTTACTTTATTAAGTACAATATAAAATACAGAAAATAAAACAAATTGAAAAATATCTGATTTTGATTGTGCATAAGGGTTATGCCTCACTGGTAGTCCATAAAGTATATGGTGTCACATAAATATACTTGGAAGTATGCAGCCTCAGTCCCTCCTCTCTTATTACCACGCCATGTGGACAAACTCCAGCAAACCCTTGGGAACATACTTACTCCCACAATTACAATTTGGTATGTTTTTATACGGCCACATTTTCATGTGGAAGTATTATGCCGTCGCCCCTGTTTGTCCGAATGTCCGTCCGAAATTTGTTTGTGGACACTCTACAGGTCACAATTTTTATCCGATTTCAACGAAACTTGAAATATAGTTTTATCTCCCTAAGAGCTTGGTTCCTTTTGATATTGGCATGTATCGGACCGTAACTTCATGGATTATCGCCACTTATTATACGAAAAATCGCGTTTTTATCTTGTGGACCCAATAGAGGTCACAATTCTTATCCGATTTTGTTGAAACTTGAAATGTAAGTTTATAACCCAAAGATCTCGGTTCCTTTCGATATTCGCACATATATCGGACCGTAACTTCCTGATTGTACGAAAAATCGCGTTTTTAGCTTGTGGACCCTATAGAGGTCATAATTTTTATCCGATTTAAAAAAACGTTTGAATATATCACCGTTACACCGGATCATAACTTCCTGAATTATGGCCCCTGATTGTACAAAAAAATCGCGTTTTTAGCTTGAGGTCCCTCGAGAGGTCACAATTATTATCCGATTTAAAAAAAACGTTCAAATATATCACCGTAATTTTGGTTGAGTTCGAATTTCGTGACAATGGGATGAAAATTGCCAGACAAAATGGCCGCCCCTCGTACACAATTAGTCTAAACATCTGTTATATCAAAGTTGTGGACCCACTCGAGGTCACAATTCAGATTTGATTTTGATGAAACTTGAAATGCATGTTTATAACCCAAAGATCTTGGATCCTGTAGATATTCGGGCATATCGGATCGTAACTTCCTGAATTATGGCCCCTGATTGTACGAAAAATCGCATTTTTAGCTTGTGGACCCTATAGAGGTCCCTCTCTGCGATAGTGTTTCTGCTTAGAACTAAGTATATGACTTCCCGAGAGAAGAGCGCCCCCCCCCCCCCCCCCCCCGGCACAGGATGTCATCTTGTCACAGGGGCTCGGAAGCTAAGTTGCCTTAGGGCCCGGCGACCTGATGATTTGTCACTGGGGAGGACCCCGCTACCCTCCTTCATCCGGGTGGAGAGAACCCCCTGCCCCCGCCCCTAAAAAGTTCACTACCCCCCGCAGGCTGGCTACGGGCTTCCCCAGAAGTTAGAGATTTCCATTCGATTGAGACTCCGAACATCTTGTCACACGGGCTCGGAAGCTAAGTTGCCTTAGGGCCCGGCGACCTCATGATTTGTTACTGGGGAGGACCCTGCTACCCTCCTTCGTCCGGATGGAGAGAACCCCCTGCTCCCCCCCCTAAAAAGTTCACTACCCCCCCCCCCCCCTCCCTTGCAGGCTGGCTACGGGCTTCCCCAGAAGTTAAGAGATTTCCATTCGATTGAGACTCTGAACATAACTGATTTAAAATTATACAATTAGAGTAAAAACGGAAACGATTGAATGTAAATCAGTTTATATACATTCATATTACATTTATTATATGCCTTGCGACCCATTTGTGTCCATTTCTAGGTCCCAAATAGTAGCTCCTTTAAATAGTTTACATCCATGGGTGTAGACTCAGCAATACCCCTCAAGGATGGTTTGTAAGTTACACTTCCATTTTAATTACTACTGCAACGTGGGTGTAATTTCTTTTGTTGGGTATTTATTTCAAGCCAACGACTTCTAAGTTCAGAAAACTGGCTATTGATTTCTATGATAACTAGTATCGGACGTTTAGCCTGACCATATTCAATATAGACCGTGGACTGCTTCGCTTCATTGACAAATACCCATCAGACTGATTCATATTCAACTGCTGTTGGGCAATTAGACAATCTGTATCAATTTACAATGAATATAAATCATGAGGAAAAATCAATACACATATCATTACAAATAAGCTGAATAATGTGGTTTATTCATTTTTGCACATCACCAGAATTAAGAATTATTAATTAAGATATTGTACTTGGTAATATTTTGGAACATTTACATGTCTTTAAGTGTATAAACGCTAAAATAATCTATACTTTACTTGTTATGAGTAAACACTCTAAAATAAGTTATAGTGCAATTAACGCCATATTTTACAAAAAACACTCAAATTGGAGTACACAAATACTTGTCTTTTGTAACGCAAGATACAGTATAAAATTGACACTTTATTCGGGGGAATGTTTTCCTAAAATAATCACACCTAGCTGTTAATGTAAATGCAATAAAACGCTTGTAGAGGGGTAGCTCATCCCAAATACCCTTTAGCGTCTACAATTACACATGTCCTGGTGTTCAGTTCTCACGAATATCGATTGCACTTTTGCAACCCAATAAACGCTATAAAATTAACGCTGTTCTATGATTTATTCTCCAATAACAGTTACACCCTTTGGTGTAAATGCATTATAACACACTGGTAATGGTGTAGCTTATCCAAAACACCCCACAATTACACCTATTCAGGTGTTTAGTAGTCATGAATATCGGTTACACTTGTTAGGTGTAGTTCTTTTAGTTGGTTACCCTTGGAAAGGTGTTAATTTAAAAAACGCTAGCTGTGGTGTAAAGTTTAAACTTAATTAACTCTGCTTAGAGTTTTTAATTGTCCCCCGCCTTTCGAAGATAAGCAATTTGATTGGTTGATGCTTTGGGACACAATAACTTTAGTTCTAATTAAGTGAGAGTGATGATACTTAGTGTATAGTTTCATTACATCAATTACATTGACTAAGTTCGATAATGAATATTTTCGGCTCTGGGTAAGGAGAGCGATAAGCAATTTGATTGGTCGGATCTTTGCAGCTCGTCAACTTTGATTCTAATGGAGTGATAGTGATGAAACTGCGTGTATAGTTTCATTACATCAATAACTTAAAGGACAATATTGGTGCCAGTCATTATCACATATGTGATAGAGCTGGTTAAACACATTCCAAATATAATTTTAACACAGAGATCATTGCTACGATAGCTTAGTAATACAGGTTTCCTGAGTCGGAAGTGACGAACGCCAAAGGAAAACATGAGCCATCTCTCTATATAACTGACTGATGTGACGAGTGATAACGGATATACGGGCGAATTTCTGCTCACTAATAATTACTTCGAAGACCAAAAGTTGATATATGGAACTGTAAGAAGATACCTGACAATTCAATAAAGTAATTGAATGTCATTAGATAAGAGAACACGAGAAAAATAGAAATAGTCCCTACATTCCCTTGTTTATATTCATTCTATATATTATAAAAACATGGTAATGCACAAACTTTTTCTGTTTTTCTTTCGTGTTCACTTATCTAGTGGCAGTCAATTCTTTTTATGAATTGTCAGATATCCTCTCACAATCTCATACAACAACTTTTGGTCTTCGAAGGAATTATTAGTGAGCAGAAATTCGCCTGTATATCCGTTATCACTCGTCACATCAGTCAGTACGGTATTATCTATGGTTATATAGAGAGATGGCTCGTGTTTTCCTTTGGCGTTCGTCACTTCTGACTCAGGAAACCTGTATTACTCAGCTATCGTAGCAATGATCTCTGTGTTAAAATTATATTTGGAATGTGTTTAACCAGCTCTATCACATATGTGATAATGACTGGCACCAATATTGTCCTTTAACAAAGTTCGATGCTGGGCATTTTCTGCTTATGAAAATGAGAGACTTCAATCTGATTGGTCAAGAGTTTGAAACACAGTAACTCTCCTTCTAATGGAGGTAGTAGGATATTAAATCCCATTTCATTTCTAATTGAGGTAGAATGTTCAAACCTGGTGTAGGTGTCTATTATGGCCTTCACAGAGTTTGATCATGCGCATTTTGCACTAAGGCTAAGCAGAGATGTATGGGGCGCCGTTTGTAAAATAATTATTTAATTTTTTTTATAGCAAAAAACATTAGATTTAACTCCGAATATATATATTTAGATAAATATTAGAACAAAAATGGCATATATGTAAATATCAAAGAAATATTGTAGCTAAAAGTCGAGTTTTTGGTCTATGAAAAACTTTAAATGTTATATCTTGATTTCACCATAGATAATACCGTATTATCTATGATTTCACATCGCTTAGTTAAATATATAGCTAAATGTGCTGTTTTTCGTAGGTATAAATGCTAAATACTAAATCACTGAAAAATCTAAAGTTAAATATTTAGCTAAATATATTAACATTTAGCTAAATATATAAACATTTAGCTAAATATATAAACATTTAGCTAAATTAAAATATATAAACATTTAGCTAAATATATAAACATTTAACTAAATATATATATTTAGTTAAATATATAAACAGTTAACTAAATATATAAATATCATGCTAAATATATATGTTTAGCTAAATGTATAAATATTTAACTAAATATCTATTTGTGGTCCCGCCAATATTTCTATTATCGTAAGCGACACAAAAAACTGCGCATAAAATGATGACGTGTACCCGACTCGTGAGCCTTGGCACAATAGGCCTACTAGCAATTAGAAATGGAAGCTGACCATGTGGCATTATTAACGAATTGCGGGTGTAAGAACTAAGCTGAGCGTTCAGGTACCAGATAGTACTGTGTTGTGCAGTCAATGGAAAGTTGTACACTATGTCATCGTTTAGTGTGAAGTCGCTTACAACAATAATTATTTTACAAACGGCGTGGTACGGTTGCGCTTTGTAAATTTAACTATATGTTTAGCTAAATATATAATTATATATTTAGCTAAATAATTATATTATTTAGCTAAATAATTATATTATTTAGCTAAATATATAAATGTTTAACTAAATATATAAATGTTTAACTAAATATTTTAACATTTAACTAAATATATATTTAGCTAAATGCTTAAACATTTAACTAAATATTTAGCTAAATATTTTATATCATCAAATCTCTTGTTTTGGTCTTAATATTTAATGCTAAATGTTAAATATGAAAATGGAGACAAATCAAGAAATATTTATATATATTATGTTAAATATTGAGTTTTTGTTGTATTTTTAGTTTAAATATTAAAAGTGAAAAATTTGCACAAAAGTCGAGATTTAACTATATATATAAATTTAAATTAAATCTAGTGTTTTTTGCTATATAAAAAGCTAAATAATTAATTTACAAACGGCGCCCCATACCATAGAGATAAGCAATTTGAGTGGCTGAGACTTTAGAACAGGATAAATTATAATCATTACCTTGACTAAGTTGATAATGAACATGTTCTGCTTTGGCTAAGGAGCAATGAGCAATTTGATTGGTCAAGACTTTGGAACATAACAACTCTGCTTTTAGAATCTTTCAACTTGATGTAGATGTTCATTAGGTGAATGTCTTGACGGAGTTCAGTTATTAAGATTTCCCGCTAAAGCTAAGCGATGCTTTGGGACAAGATAACTTTGATTCTAACTGATGGAAAGTGATGAAACTTAGTGTCTAGTTGATAATCAGGTTGATTGCTCGATACGTTTGAAAAAGATAAATATGTAATTAATTAATATGCGTCTTCTATTTATTTGGGGATTTCGGTGGGGGACACCAGCCTTACTGTTGGCTTGTTCTTTAATTTGAAGCTTGATACATACCAATATACTGTTTACGTATTAATAATAAAGGACATGTTGATTGTGCCTTTGGGGATTTTATAACATATTATATAATATATTGACAAATCAATTGTAAGCTACAGGAGCACTTCTGCATCCCCTTCTGTATCTGCGCCTGTGTTCTGTTATTTTTAGGCCTTCTTTCATTTTGTTTTATTTATTTTCTCATCATTTTGTTTAACTTTTTTGCCTAAAAATCAAAGTATTTGAAATCACACATTGTTATAAACATATAAATTGTAATATCCAAGAGACCTAATACGGTGAAAACCTCGTTATTAGAGGCCACGAAATGGGGTAAATTCAATACAATGTATTGATAAGTAAATATTGTGGTCTGATCCCATTTGATGCCTGGATTACCTCCCATGTCTTGGAACTTGAGTAATGAAAAGTTAAAACAGTAGGCCGACGGATTACCAAAGAGGCGAAGTTGTTGATTATTTCTGAAATAATTTTTATCAATTGAAGGCTTAAAATAACTCTCTTTGTATTTTATTTAAACCAGCGAAATCATATAAATTATCGGCTTGCATATTTGCATATGTTAGAGAGGAATACGCATTACTGCTGCCTTACTTTACATTAATAATTTCACGTGTTTTCTCTCTCTTCCTCGGCCGGGTTGCTGTTTCTTAGACTTTAGCCATTTTTTTGTTAGGCAGATTAAGGCCAACTCTGGTCGCTCTCTGTATTGTCTGTCACCAAAGTCAGACAGTTGATCTTGGGATCAGAATGAACAAATAAAATGAAATAAATAAACAAACTGTTGTTACATCTACCAAAGGTAAACGGAGAAAGTGCATGAAGATACAGATTTGAGGGTAGGTCTAGTCTAATAATAATAACTAATAGTAATAGAAATTAATACTTTTATGTGTTTTTCTTAAAAATGTACAGTAGATTTAATCAAATGTTATAGATATTGTACAAAAACTGAACACACACACTATTTTTAAGGCCAATATTATCCACAAAGTGAATTTTATTCATATTAATATTTTTTAAGTAATGAATGTTGATGACATATCGATGGCAACTCAGTTGGTGATCAACATAAAACAGTAGCTTTATTCTTTATACTATGTACCACTTGAGTCTGAAATAGCTGACAGCGATATCTCACTATTACGAAATATCTGACCTTCCCTGCGATTTGGTGGGCATCAGATTTAGATTGCTGTGTATACACTAACTCCCTGTGTTGTGTCTAATTATTGCACTATGATCAACGGATAATTTGAAGAATCTGATATTATGAATACAAGTTATAATTATATAACTAATTACATGTAGTTGAACAAAATAATTGTTTGCTTATCTATATTAGTTTTTGGAAAACTCTACATGTTTTTAAGAGGGATTTGATTATATATCGCTATATGATACAGTATATATACATGTCTCTGCTGATCTGTGACGTAGCTATGTATAACATAACAGCCCAATAACATGTATACTGACTGGTATTATTTGTAAATACGCCAGATCCCATTCGCTACTTAAGAAATAGGTTTTAGGCGAAATGGTCTGATTTAAGAATAAGAATAAGTGATAGTTTTAATTTTTCAAATATTTGGCCAGATTAGTTTTTTCTGTTTAGGGTGATAGAATACCACTACATGTACCTTTAGTTGGTGTGAGCAATAGTGTTGGTATGCACCAGTTAATATATTGTCAAAAATAATGATCATACTGAATGCTGAATTTATTATTTGAATATTCAATGACATTATTTGAATGCTATTCGAATATTTGTTTTATTTTAATTTAAATGTTTGCATTGCATACAGTAATCTTCAGATGTGAATGTTGAAAATAAATATATTTTCTTTATTTATTTCTGAATTTTAGTTTATAATATTGATTAATATTAATAAAAAAAATTATAGGAGATAAAAAAACGACCAATATATTAAATAACGAATGCCAAAAATAACTTTGAATACTGTAGCCTTAAAATACTATTTGAATGTGATTATTGGAATATTTGTGTGAGCCTACAAAAAAAACCATAACAATCGTACACACATCACAGTTACAAAACCCTACACAATTAGTTAAAATAAAACAGATACAAATGTCTGAAACAAATAATGTTAACTTGTAATTCACAATTTAATAAGAAAAACCTGATGATTAGTATTCAGTCAATGATTATGCTAGCTGAACTTTTCCATTGTTAATGAAAACGTCATAAATATATTTCTAATTACATCTCTAATAATTTGATTAAACTACAGAGTCTTCAACTAACCTATGGTAAAATATGGCTGCTGCAGAGGGGATGATTGCCCAGCCTAATGAATTACTTTCTAAAACTGAACCTGTCGATGAACTACTCACAGCCACAACACAGAATGAAGAGCAAGATTCATATTGTGATGATGAACCAGTTTTAGAAATAAATATAAACAATGTTGTTTGTTCTTTTAACACAAGATGTCACTTAAATTTGAGGAGGATTGCTCTGGAAGGCTCTAATGTTGAGTTTAAGAAAGAAAATGGGGTAAGTGTAATTTTATGATTTTAGTTAACGTGTGATACATATTTCCATGATATCTAAGATCCTAAATACATAACCGTTAATTGAAAAATATATCCAAGAATGATGGCTGAGAAAGTTCCAATTGTGCAAGACTGAGGATCTTGCAAGGAAGAGGGTCAAGTCGTTTAGATGGCACAGAAAACCAAGGCCCAGTAGTGCATGACAATTCAAATTTGATGAAGAGTAGGTAAAAACACTGCTGTTCTGGCAAAATTTTCCTAATAACACAATGCATTAGCTCAGTTGGTACAGAAATGAAATTAAACCCCATTTCTTTGATTTGGGGAGAGTTAATGCAAAGCTCTTAGTAGTCTTAGTGTGTAAAATGTAGCTAATGTACTAATAGCAGTATTTTTAGATTTTTAATAGGATTTCCCATTCATAACTCAAAAGATATGCTGCTTTAAGCAACAAATATGGTTCTCTGTAGTTAAGATGTAGTTACTATTAATGTAAATTGATTGTAGGTAGTCAAAAGAAAAAATATTTCTTTAATTAGTAGGGTGACCCATGTACTCACAGAAATACAGTCCACCGCTGATAGTTCGAGACTACCACTGAAGCGTGCACATTCGCCGTGCCGAGACCAACTTTCTGACAGTATGATACTATAAATAGCCATGGCACGTGCAATTCTCTACAAATCTATCAACTATTACAGCCGTAAAAAATTTATTGTTGACGATTTTGAATAGCAGTAAAATTAAGCTTCTTGGTTATTACAGCAGATTTAGAAATTATGTTCGTTTCATTTTTTAAATCGCTTTATCATTAACTGTACCATTAAGAGCGGCATCTTTTGGTTTAGTACAAATAATATCTCTGAATCACTCGGGTTAGACAGGAACATGATACTAGCAGTAGTTTCATTTTACTTTTACAAGCTTCTTAAAACGATTGTTGAGCTACCTAACGTGCTTATTTCTAAATTCAATTTCTTGTTCTAGCTTTCTGTTATGTTTCGTAAAAAAGTAGTCTTGATTATCCCGACCTGTCAATCAGATGTAGAATGGTCGATAGACTGGTTAAGCGAGACTAATTTCAAAACAAGGGCACGTAACCTATCTTTTACTCAAAAGTGTCTGGATGTTATGGACGACTCTTGGAACCAGTTTTCAGTCTATTATTTATACGTGATTAATGGTCATAGCTTATTAAGTACAACATGATCGTTTATTAAGTGACTATAATTGTGTGAAACTGATTTGAGGCTTGGCATATATATAAATATTGTGGCGTAATTGTCGAGATATATGGAGATATTTATTTATGGTGGGTCACCCTATAATTAGTGATGTTTGGGAATAAGATCATGTAAAACTTTAGTAAAAGAAGTGTAGAATAGTCTGTGACATATATAGAGGATATTTGTCGTTTTAGAGTGAATAACATATTTTATTTTCATCGAGAAGCAAGAAAACTTATATTTTCACGAATGCGTAGCATGAGTGAAAATATAAACGTTTTCTTGCTTAGAGATAAAATAAAATATGTTATTAACGACAAAACGACAAATGTTCTATTTATTTTATGATTTTACAATCATTTTAGGTAAAAACAACTAGCCAGTGGAATAACACTTTTATTTCACTGATAAAACGCGGTATTCCACTACTGATCATAAAATAAATTGTTATATTTTCAGATGTGTAATATGAAGATAAGATCTCCAAAAGTAACAGCCAGTATTTGGTCATCTGGTAAAATTACATGCACAGGGGCTACAAGGTTTGTAATTATCACACAATTTGTCTACGTGGAGAGATTTTTAACCTGGCCCTCTAATGTCCATAAATTTAAGGAACTTTCAAATTTATACGTAAATAACATAATTTCGCTGTCTAGAAATCTTCTGAATGACTGTAAAGAGGAGAATATGGGACAATATTGAATGCTTAAAAAAATAAATCAAAATAATTGAAAACCTATTTATATGTTTCATAATGACAAAATATCGCCTATCGCGCATCTTACATGATCTTTTAAATGCCAAATGACTATATTAAGAGATGATAAATAATGTCTGACCTTGAAGCTTTTACATTAGTATATCTTTATACAAAAGTTAAACTGTATTTTTTCAAATATTGTCCCATAACCCCACCATTTAACTGGAATTAAGATTGTAAAATTTCTGAAGTAAAACTCACCATATGATCACTTGTTGATATTGTATTGCACATGTGTTTACAAACATTGTAATATGTGAAAAAATTAAATATATTTTGTAAAAACCTTACTCATTAGTTGGATGTCTTGAATATAACTAAAACACAATTCTGTGCTTGTATTCTCTCTTTAAATGTTAAAAAAAAGGGTGTGTACTACTACTATCTCACATGAAGGGAACTTTGTTATGTGTTTTAACAGCCGATGTTTATTTTAGTGAAGAAGATTCAAAGATTGCTGGTAGAAGAGTAGCTAGACGTTTACAGCAACTAGGTTTTAATGTTCGTTTCACTAATTTCCGAGTGGTTAATGTTCTGGGTACCTGTTCTCTACCGTTTGGTATCAAAATTACTCTCTTTTCTAGAAGATATACACAGCAAGCAAGGCAAGTTGATTTTACTCTTATTTTTCGAAGAAAGCAGGGGACTATTGAAACTGTTTCTGTCAGTGGACATATTTTGAAGTCTGTCTTCAAAATAGATTTGTCTATCCATCATACTTGTTGTGACACAATAACTGTCTATAATTGAGGTAGAATGTTCTAACTTGGTGAAGATTGTTCGATGCTTTACAAATAAACATAGAAGATTTCCCAAGATTAATTATATCAATAAGATTATAGTGTATTATATTCAAACTGAGTCGTACATTGTACTCCCGTCATCTTTAACAGTTTACAACCTTCTTCAATTTATTGTAGGCTATATTAGTTCAAATTTGAAACAGGAGTAAAAATCAACATGTAGGATTTACGGTCAGGATTTTTGATAAGATACACTGGGACACTAATAAGTAATGGCTATGCAATTTCTCATAATTTTAGCTCATTGTCGTGTTTTGTTGATATTTTTCAGTTATGAGCCAGAGTTACATCCTGGAGTAACATATAGGATAAAAGAGCCTAAAGCCACACTCAAGATATTTTCAACAGGCAGTATTACAGTAACAGGTATTTACCCAGTACAATCCTCTTAGTTTTGCAGATGACAGCAATATTTATCACTTGTTGGCTTTTGATTCATTTAGAGAATTAGTCATTATGGTGGGATGAAAAACCAAGACCCTGTGTACACTTCTTTGAGTGTACACGTTGGCGTCAGAGAAGAAACCGTTGGTATTGAAGAGTAGGTAAAAATGCTGCTGTCCTGTCAAACTTTCCTCACAATCCACTGTATGTTGTATGCTTGTCTTCATTAGGTGGTTCAGAAAAGTAGGATGTTTTTGAACCTCATTTCATTTCACATCAATTATGATCCAGTCTATTTGAAATTTCGAAGAGCTGTTTAATTCAATCAAAGAAAGAAGCCTATGGTGTTCAGTGATTTTTTTTATGATACTTCCATAGTTATTCCACATTGTTATAAAGACAACAACTTTCTCCCTTTCATGTTCTTTTTAGTACACTTGAGGCTACAATAATTATGCCCCAATGTTACAAAATCGTGTTACAACTTTATAGGCTGTAATTATTAACCTATCAGTCTGAAATTTATATTGGTTGTTTATCCTATTGAAAAAATGAACCCTATTGATTTTTTTGTCCCCCGCCTTTCGAAGAAAGCAGGGGACTATTAAAATGGGTTCGTCTGTCTGTCTGTCCATCCGTCACACTTTTTGGGACACAATAACTATCTTTCTAATTGAGCTAGAATGTTCAAACTTGGTGTAGGTTTTTATTAGGTCAATGCCTTGATGGAGTTTGGAGATGAGCATTTTCTGTTTATGGTAAGCAGAGATAAGCAATTTGATTGGTTGATTCTTTGGAACACAATAACTTTAGTTCTAATTAAGTGAGAGTGATGAAACTTGGTGTATAGTTTCATTACATCATTACCTTGACTAAATTCGATAATGAGCATTTTCTGCTCAGGGTAAGCAGAGCGATGAGCAATTTGATTGGCCGAGACTTTGGAACACAATAACTCTCCTTCGAATTGAGCTAGAATGTTCAAACTTGGTGTAGGTGTTCATTAGGTGAATGTCTTGATGGAGTTTGAAGATAGACATTTTCTGCTTAGGGTAAGCAGAGATAAGCAATTTGATTGGTTGATGCTTTGGGACATGATAACTTTAGTTCTAATTAAGTGAGAGTGATGAAACTTGGTGTATAATTTCATTACATCATTACCTTGACTAAGTTCGATAATGAGCATTTTCTGCTCAGGGTAAGCAGAGCGATAAGCAATTTGATTGGTCGAGACTTTGGAACACAATAACTCTCATTCTAATTGAGCTAGAATGTTCACACTTGACGTAGGTGTTTATTAGGTGAATGCCTTGATGGAGTTAAGAGTTAGAAGATGAGAATTTTCTGTTTAGGGTAAGCAGAGATAAGCAATTTGATTGGTTGATGCTCTTGGACACGATAACTTTAGCTCTAATTAAGTGAGTGAGAGAGAGAGAGAGAGAATGGGATTTAACGTCCACTCGACACAAACTAGGTCATTTCGGGACTAACATATGGTTTTAATTTTATTTACATAATTCGCTTGCGCGTAGGGGTCTTTAGCAGTGGGAGGAAACCGGAGGACCCGGAGAAAACCCACGAGGTTGGACAGGCGACCCTACTCCTTGCCACGTACAACCGGGGATTCGAAACCACAGACTTTATGATACAGCGCGCGCACGCTAACCATTCAGCCATCCAACCCCCCCTAATTAAGTGAGAGTGATGACACTTGGTGTATGGTTTTATCACATCAGTACCTTGACTAAGTTCCATAATAAGCATTTTCTGCTTAGGGTAAGCAGAGCGATAAGCAATTTGATTGGTCGAGACTTTGAAACACAATAACTCTCTTTCTAGTTGAGGTAGAATGTTCAAACTTGGTGTAGGTGTTCATTAGGTGAATGCCTTGATGGAGTTCGGTGATAAACATTGTCTGCTTACGGTAAGCAGAGATCAGCAATCTGATTGGTTGGGGCCACTAACTTTGGTTTTAATTAAGTGAGAGTGACGAAGCTCCGAGTATAGATTCATTATATCATTACCGTGACTAAGTTTGATGATGATAATTTTCTGCTTAGGCTAAGGGTAGATAAGCAATTTGATTGGTCAAGATAACAACTCTGCTTTTAATTGAGGTAGAATGTTTAAACTTGATGTAGATGTTCATTAGGTGAATGTCTTGACTGAGTTCAATGATTAACATTTCGAGCTAAAGCTAAAGAGAGGTAAGCAATTTCATTGGTTGAAACTTAGTGTATAGTTAATAATCAGTTTGATTGCTTGATACTTTTGAAAAAAAAATAAATGTGCGATTAATTAATATGTGTCATCTATTTATTTTGGGATTTCGGTGGGGGACATCAGCCTCACTGTTGGCTTGTTTCAACAATTTTTATACACCCACATTTTCATGTGGACGTATTATGCTGTCGCCCCTGTTTGTCCGTCTGTCCACAGTTTGTTTGTGGACACTCTACAGGTCACAGATTTTATCCGATTTCAACGAAACTTGAAATATAGGTTTATCTCCCTAACATCTCGGTTCCTTTCGATATTGGCATGTATTGGACCGTAACTTCATGGATTATGGCCCCTGATTATATGAAAAATCACATTTTTAGCTTGTGTACACTCTAGAGGTCACAATTTTGATCCGATTTTGATGAAACTTGAAATGGATGTTTATAACCCAAATATCTTGGGCCTGTCGATATTCATGTATATCGGATTGTAACTTCCTGAATTATGGCCCTTGATTGTACGAAAAATCGCATTTTGAGCCTGTGGTCCCTATAGAGTTTACAATTTTTATCGGATTTAAAAAAATAACATGTGAATATATCACAGTTATACACTAATGATGGTTGAGTTCGAATTTCGTGAAAATCAAACTAAAACTGTCGGACATAATGGCCACCCCTTGTACGCAAATAGTTTGAAAATATGGTATATCAAGGTTGTTGACTCTACAGGCTGCAGTATTCCAAAAATCTCAGTCCATTTTGATATTTGTGCATTTCAGACCATAACTTTCTGGATTATGGCCCCTGATTGTACAAAAAATCGTTTTTGTTTTTAGCTTGTTCCCTATCCATCTCTTACAAAATGTGGGCGTATCCTGCCTGGAAGTCACTGGTTGATAATAACATCCATAGTTATTCCCCTTTATCATGAATCTTGCTTGCACTTTAGAGGCTTCAATTTTAAAAAAAAAGTTATGCATTGTTTAGCTCAGATCATTTAGGTTCTGTTGAGAGTAACCTATTTTTCTATTAAATGATGCATCTCAACTATGCTCTTGTTTTACAGCTCCATCAGTTTATAACGTCCAGTGTGCCATCGAACATATTTATCCACTTGTTTCTGAGTTCAAAGCAGAGGGTGAAGTAGATAGAAAAACGTTATTGGCAGAAAAAAAATATTTACAAAATCAAGGCTTAGCAAATCCAAATAAAATTCAAAGATCTGTAGCTGTTAATGAGGAAGAAGAAGCAATGGACTCAGATGAGGATGAGTCTTTTGATAGTGATGCTAGTCATGATTGAAACAATACAAATTACCATCTGTTATACTTTGTGACTATTGTGTTTAGTAATATGGGGTATTATTGTGATGGGCATTGTGTACAAACTACATTTAAATACAGTTCAAAGACGTGTTTTCTATATGGAAGTGTTTAAAAAGTGTGTGAAAAATTCTGAGATAATAAACAGTGTTTGTTTGGAAGTTTATAAAACTCAAGTTAACCATGACATGAGGACAGAATTTATGTTGGTACTGTAGTTGGATTAAATGAATGACAGGCTGTATCAAAAGAGATTCCAGCCATTGCAGATTATATATCTTTTATTCATTATCTAATACCGAAATTGTTTCAAACATGCTTAACCTGAAGAACGAATCATTATTGTCTTGAATTAACAAGCAGATCACATGGTATAATAGTCTTCGGTCACCCTGAGCCATGTGTTAACAGTTTGAATAGTAACTTTTATAGCACAAGCACATAGTTTTATTTATCAACAGTGACTGACAAGTACCCTGATGATGTCACAGCCAGCATATTTATTTGTTAATTAAATGCTAAATGAGTTGTACTTGGGTTAAATTGTGGAAACTATTTTTACGCCCACATTTCAAGCCAGGTTATTTTGTCTCCACACTTCGTCTTGTGAAAGCGCCTCCCCCCCCCCCTTGTGAAAATCTTGTGAACGTGATTGGATCCTTATCAAATTTGTTCATTATTAAAGTTTCCTTTTCGGATTAGCTGCTGTCTTTTGCATTTTTTTTCTTGTGATAAAGCTGCTGTTTGGGTCTCTTTATTTCTGGATAATGAATAAGATTAGAATAAGAATTTGCAATGACTGGACTTCTTTAGTACATGTATATACCACAGTGTGTAAATATTTGTTGGTGCACAATCATTTTTCAACGACCCTTTATACATCTCAGAAATCTCAACAACTCTTGCAGAACACATAATTGATAGATTTCATTTAACTGATCTAGTTCTACATGTATGTGCATGCTTGATTTAGTAGAAAGAAAAAATCAACAAAGCATAGTTGTGTTTTACTATAAAGTTTGTTAAACATCTGTCACTCATTGATTCAAATTTCATGTCTTTAGATTCAGGATATTGCATTTCAATAAATAAAACTTAAAGACAAAACCACTCATTGATAATATAATGTGTAAATGTACAGATATTATTCTCAGATAAAATCAACGATCCGTGGCAAATTAGGGGAACAATAGGGTTATGATCCATAGTCTGTATCAAATAAACAATTATTTCATTGGCAAAATTCACATATTCAACTTTACAAAAATCAACGAAAATATCGAAAATCCAATTCTAATAAGTTCTTATCACCAGAGAAGAACAATATTAGAGAATTTATTCAAATTCATATATATCCAATGAATAATTAAATTAGCATTCATTGATTCTACAATTAAGGTACCATAGTATATGAGTTAAAAAATAATTTTAAAAATCTATTATTTATAATTTAAAATATCTACTATTTCTAATACTTATGTTGATTTCTGGAACTGGTTTAGAATCCACATTAACAGCTACTTTCAACTTGAACGGTATCACTTCTTCTGGTCTTAACTCGAAATTTGTGATTATCATAAACTAGGCTTTGGGGACCTCAAAAATAAAATTTGGAATGAATTGAATGTGCATTAGCCATTTTGGAATAAAATAAAATTTGAACTTGCAGCTATCATAAACAGTGTTCATAGTAGTAAAGTGTTCACTACAAAATGACATGTGAACGAAACATCAGCTAGTGAACTAGATCATGGATTAAAACTGTTCGTATGATGATTAAAACAGACTCTATAATCTCTCATTAATCTCCTAATCCCTAAGTAGTACTGTTAATCTAATGGCAAAGTGGGAACACCCCAGAAATATGAACCTTATGTTTTATAGAAATTAGTGCTAAAGTCTAATGAAATCAACATGTTGGTTTAACATAGATGAAACCAATTTCGGTGCATGAAATGGTTATTCTTGTATGGAATGTTAAAATGTTGTATGTTTAGTGTATAAATGATATTTAGAAAGTATGATTATGTTGAGTTAGTGCTAACATTTAAATTTTTGTGTGTTGCAGGTTTGTGTCCACTATTTTTGAGATTAGGTTTAAGTGCATGTTCTCTTAGAATTAAAACAAATTATTTGATGTATATTTTAATAACTTAAATTATTTCTGATTTTACCAAACTTCCCGTATGTAATGCTGATCAGTCATGGTAAAATACTTATATGATAATGTCAGAGTGATTTCTGTAAATAACGTACATTGTCCATCAATAAATGGATTACAAATCAGATTTTCATTTGTAATCTAAAACTACAAATTAGACAATCATTACAAAAAATCTAATATGGGAGTGATGTTTTTATTTTGTCTAATGATAACTAGAGTAAGTTACTACAAATGTAATCACATATTTTTGATAGTTCTATTTTGAATGATGCGCCTTCCATTTCCCCAACTCCATGGAATATAATTTCCTTTCTTATTACTACAGTGTCTGTTATTATTGTCAATAACATCAGGTTTATATACTAGACAATTGGGCCTACGGTATTTATAAGAATGTTGGTTTGGGCTTTTCTTTAAAAAAATAAAAAGTAATGCAGTGGTATCTGAGAACCAGACTGTATATCCTTACACATATTTATTAAATATTGTAATTATACTTACTTCCCATCAAATATCCAACCTTGTGGGTTTTCTCCGGATCCTCCGGTTTCCTCCCGCTGCTAAAGACCCCTACGCGCAAGCGAATTATTGAAATAAAATTAAACCATATGTTGGTCCCGAAATGACCTAGTTTGTGTCGAGTGGACGTTTAACCCCATTTCTCTCTCTCTCTCCCATCAAATATATAAGAACTTTTCTCAATAACTACATCCACAGGTAAAGATACATGTACCTCATACAAAAATAAGCTAAAAAGTCATGCAGACACCAAAATCAAGAGGTAACGGTTTTTACAATTGCAGGATCTGAAAGAAATTTGGGTATGCTGGATGGGAATATAAATACACATTATCATCTTTTATGTGATTGCAAGTTGGATTTCACATGGTAGAGACAGTAGTCACAGTAAAAATTCATAAATATTCAATAAAACCCAGAATTGAATATTTGATGGCTCGTGATTTTGTGCTTGTTCGTGTGACATTGATGGACAGCTGACTGCTGTTTATTTAACTACATGTATCTACATTTACATGAATAACCAAACATTGTCTAAATAACATAACAAGGTTGATAATGATAGCTTCTACAGTTGTCAGAAATTTAAGGCTCTGCAGTTATTTTATGTAAAAAAAAAAAAAAAAAGTACATGTAATGCATTTCAAATATTGATCTTATGAGTAACTTATTTTCTCTTGTTTTTAAATTGGTTCTGTCTCTACAGTGATAACAATAAATTATGCTCTAGATTCCAACAAAATGATCATACATGTCGATTATGTCATGTAGTAATAATGAGATTGTTTACACAAAAATATATTTGTCTACTTTCTACCAGTGAAGTGAGTGATGAATTGAGTGCATTAATAATTTTGTAATTTGAATTGAAATATTTCTACAACGACCATTTTCTTATATTTAAATATATATCTGTAAGCTTATTGGTATTAATTTGTACATGACAATATTGTGTATTTTGTGTGATAGAAACATTTGCAGTTAAGTTTGATAAGTTTGTGTTAAATTTAAGCAATAAATGGACTAATAAATCGATGGATAACCAATTAAATGTTTGTTTCATATTATAACTGTGCTCATTTGTTTTTCATTAAAATAAAAAAAGTTTTTTCCGAAATTTTGTTGCAGTCTTCATTAGGACAGGTAGAAGATTTAGACCAGAGAGTGGAATATAACATGGTAACAAGTTGGGGAAACATCAATCAACATAGAAATGGTTCCACTACTGATGTCATGAACTGCAACATATAATAAACCAAATCCCATTGATATGAAGAAGATACCTTTTCGCATAGTTACATGATTTGATAAAATCCAACGGCTATGCCATAATTTTTCGCACCTCTGTGTGTGTATGTATGTGTGTGTGTCAGGGCACAATCTTTATGGATTGTCTTGAAACTTAACATACTTATTCCTTATACCAAGGATGATCCAATTTTTTGTATTTGATTGTTTGTCATATACAGGACGCATTTCTTGAAATTTTGGATACTTATTCCTTATACCCTAAGGATCAACCCTATTGTTTTTGGTGCGTGCCCAACCTCCAGGGGCAGAGCTACGCCCATTTTCTCTTTGGGTGTCCGTGTGTCGCCTATAGGCTGCAATTCTTAATGGATCGTCTTGTACACTTTTCATACTTATTCCTTATACCCTAAGGATGACATCTATTATTTTTGGTGCATGCCCACCCCCTGCGACAGAGCCATGCCCAATTTTTGTGTGGGTCGCAATTTTTTACAGATCCTTTTGAAACTTTGCATACCTATTCCTTATACCCTAAGGGTGATCCTATGGTTTTTGGTGATTGCCCGACCCCCATGGGCTGAGCCACACCCATTTTTGCTTTTTGTGTCTGTGTGTTGCCTACAGGCCACAATTTTTAATGGATCATCTTGGAACTTGATATAAGAATTCCTTATAGCCTAAGGATGGCAACTATGGATTTTGGTGTATATCCCGACTCCAAGGGACAGACACACACAATTTTTTTGTTTGTCGTATTGTGGTCGCAATTCTGAATGGATCATCTTCAAACTTGGCATATGTATTCCTTATAGCCTAAGGGCGGCAGCTATTGATTTTGGTGCATGTCCCGACCCCAGGGGCAGTGTCAAGCCTATTTTTTTGTGTTTAGCGTCTGAAGGCCACAATTCTGAACGGATTATCTTGGAACTTAGTATACTTATTCCTTATACCCCAAGGATGGCAGCTATTGATTTTAGTACATGGTCCGTTCCCCTTGGACAGTGCCACACCCACTTTTTGTTAATATTTTGTCTGTAAATAATCTACAGGTTGCAATTAACATATTTGGATCCAATTCTGTGTGATCCATCATAGGGTTGTACCTATCTATATTGGTCCATGTCCAGCCCCCAGGGGCAGAGCGACACCCAATTTCTGCGGTTTTTTTTGTCTACATGCTGGAATTCGGAATCTGAATGGATCATCTTAGAACTTGGCATATTTATTCCTTATACCGTAAGAATAGCAACTATTTATTTTGTTGCATGTCCCAACCCCCAGGGGCGGTGTCAGACCCACTTTATTTGTCGCATATTGTCATTGCCCTCATCTGTTCATCATCTACAGTTTCTTGTGAATTGTTTTGAAATTGATATATGTTGTTTACATTAGTAAGATGAAAAATCCTATTTAATTTCAATAATTTCTGTTAATTTCCTCTGGAGTTATGGCCCTTGTTTGAAGCCTATGGAATTTCAGCAATTTCAGTTTATAACTTCTAGAGTTACCACCCTTGTTCACTCTTTAAACCCTGTGAACGCTCTAACGGCTAAAGTTATCATCCGATCTGTATTAAATTTACATGTACATGTATTATTGAAATTAGAAAAAAGAAGAAACCTATTAAATTTCAGCAATTTCTGTTTATAACTTAAATTGTGGCCCTTGTTTCACTTTGTTGAACCTTGTGAACACTCTAACGACTTAAATTACCATCGATTTGTATTAAATTTACATGCATTATTTAATTTAGTAAAACGAAGAATCCTATTGAATTTCAGCAATGGCCCTTGTTTGACTTTGTTGAACCTTATTAACACTCTAATGACTAAAGTTATCATCCGATCTGTATGAAATTTATATGTATTATTGAGATCACTGAAATGAAGAAGCCTTTTAAATTTCAACAATTTTCATTAATTACTTCTAGAGTTATGGCACTTGTTTCACTTTGTTGAACCTTGTGAAAGCTTTAACAACAAAAGTTATCATCCGATCAGTATGAAATTTATATGCATTATTTAGATCACTAAATCAAAGAATCCTATTGAATTTCAACAATTTTCATTAATTACTTCTAGAGTTATGACCCTTGTTTCAATATGTTGAATCTTGTGAATGCTCAATTGACAAAAGTTATCTGATACGTATTAAATTTAAATGCATTATTGAGATTAGTAAAACGAAGAATCCTATTGAATTTAAGCAATTTCTGTTTTTAACTTCCAAAGTCATGGCCCTTGTTTCACTTTGCTGATCCTTGTGAACATTGATCTGTGTGAAATTGATATCATTGTCTTGTAAATGCTTCTACATGTATTATCTACAAAAGCATAAATATGTGACAATCCTTGTTGACTGCTTGGACGATTTAGCTGCTGTGGGCGTATGTTTCATTGCCTGGCAACCTATTTTTCATTTTAAATTGGTATGTAGCCTACGTGTAAATTAACAGTATTATGTTGTCCCATTTTATTTTTTCTATGTACATGTAATTGGTGCATTTAAAAAGCACAAAGAATGTTTTAATCAATGAAGGGTGATAAGTCTGAAAGTAATTATTGGAAATCAAAAAGCTTCTTCATCTCATGGGGGGTTGGGTGGCTGAATGGTTAACACATGCGCGTTGTACTCTAAGGTCTGTCATTGAATCAAGTGGCGTGGTTTAGAGAGAGAGAGAAATGAGGTTTAACGTCCCCTCGACACAAACTAGGTCATTTCGGGACTAACATGGTTTAATTTTATTTCGATAATTTGCTTGCGCGTAGGGGTCTTTAGCAGTGGGAGGAAACCAGAGGACCCGGAGAATTGTGACCTCTAGAGAATCCACAAACTAAAAATGAGATAATTCAACCAATCAGGGGCCATAATCCAGGAAGTTACGTTCGGATATGTGTGATTATCAAAAGGAACCAAGATCTTTATGATAAAAACATATATTTAAAGTTTCATCCAAATCGGATAAAAACTGCGGCCTCTAATAGAGAGTCAACAACCTTGATATACCATATTTTTACACAATGTGCGTACAAGGGGGGGGGGGGGGTGGATGGCTGAATGGTTAGTGTGCGCACGCTGTATCATAAAGTCTGTCATTGAGTCGACTGGCGTGGTTTCGAATCCCCGGTTGTACGTGGCAAGGAGTAGGGTTGCCTGTCCAACCTCGTGGGTTTTCTCCGGGTCCTCCGGTTTCCTCCCACTGCTAAAGACCCCTACGCGCAGACGAATTATGTAAATAAAATTAAAACCATGGTAGTCCCGAAATGACCTAGTTTGTGTGGAGTGGACGTTAAACCCCATTTCTCTCTCTCTCTCGCGTACAAGGGGCGGCCATTATGTCCGACAGTTTAGTCCGATTTTCACGAAATTCTTACTCAACCATCATTAGTGTATAACTGTGATATATTCACATGTTATTTTTTTAAATCCGATAAAAATTGTAAACTCTATAGGGACCACAGGCTCAAAATGCGATTTTTTGTACAATCAAGGGCCATAATTCAGGAAGTTACGATTCGATATGCGCTAATATCGAAAGGAACCAAGATCTTTAGGTACGTTATAAACATGCATTTCAAGTTTCATCAAAATCGGATCAAAATTGTGACCTCTAGGAGGTCCACAACCTTTATATACCAGATGGTTACACTATTTGCGTACAAGGGGTGGCCATTTTGTCCGACAGTTTTGGTCT